TATTACTTCTAAGGAAGATTCTCATAATGAAGTTAAATTTAGTAAATGAGTAACTGGGTGTTGGAAAACAAAGCGAGGTTAAATTGGCAAGTAAAAGAAGTAATACTTATTCTTATTGTAATTCGAATTAGAAAGCACATTAAAACTAATCGGAAAAGAAATGATAAAAGCTGAACAGCTCCACAAACATTACTTTGATAGGAGAAACCGGTATATTTATTATTGTAAAATACAACATAAAAATAAAGTATTTCAAGGATGCACATTACGATTTTGATGTTTTTGTTCATTAAAAAATGGATAAACATTAGCACCACTTTTGTCATCGACAAAAAATTACAAAAGGTGTACTGGAAGAAAGTAACAATAATATCAAAACAAAAGTAAGAAAGCAGAATTAACATAAAAGTGATGCAAGATTTTCATTAAAAAATGTGTGTAGAATTTATGAAGTAGAATTATCATGTTGCTTATGAAAGTTTAAATAGAAAACTCAAGTTTTTCAGGAGAAACAACAAAAGGATAACTGGTTTTTTTGTCACATAATTATTAGAAAGCTCTTTAAGTCTCTTTGGGGAATCTAAAGAAGATGTCTTCAAATTAGCGGAATCACCCAAACTAGAAACTTTCTTCAACAAATGGAATATTTATGAATATAATATATAATATTTCAAAAATGATGAAAACTTTCGGGAATCCAAGTCAGAAAAAAAGCAACACATGGACGGTAAATATCCAAAAATCAAAAAAAAAGTAGTTTCCAAAAAATTTAGAAGTTAATTTTGTTTATAGATGGGAAGTGTACCAAAAGAATATGATGCCAAAATTTACCACATAATGCATTATTACCTATTCCCGCTCTTTTGTCGCAGCTCAATCTTTACTGGCACAAATTGAAGAGAGTATACACAGATCAGAAAAACCTTATATTATTAAGCAATAAATAGCAGTGAAAGTTCGAAGAAATAGTTCAGCACTAAGTAATATAAAAAAAACTTTTAGGACGCTTATCAGATCGAAAAAAAGGAAAAAAACTTGAAAATGCTGGAATGTTGTTGTGTTGCGGTATGTACGTGATATGAATAAGCAGTAATCATTAAAAGGTTTCATACCAGATATTATTTTTTTAGTCATGAAAAGCTTGTGGATCACCTGACAATTAGTAATATTATGAATAAATGGGCTTGCGTACTTTCAATGAGAAATATATCAACAAGCATTTTATTGGCATAGACATACTTGTTTGTGATCCAGATGGAAAATATAAAAAGGAACACAATAAATCCAAAACTTTTTTAATCGTATTTAGTTTCTATATCAAAATGTCAAAATGTGCCCAGACTTTCGATCTAATGCAAATTTATCATTAGGTCATCATCAGGTTCAATACCAATAATGACTATAAAGTATCAAATCAAATCTGTTACCTACACAATATTTCTAAAATATTTCTATTGTCTTATTCCAACAAATAAAACTGATTTCTAAAGTATCCATTCTAAAATATCCATTTCAGAACATATCTTAAGTATTTGCAGTAGTTCTGAGCAAATAAATCTTTACCTAACATATAAACATATAAACGGTCTTTTTTTCTTCCTTTTTTTTGAGAACATCCTTGTCTGTACTGTTAACAGATCGGATTACAGATAAAAATTTAAGATGTCAATTGAAATAAACTCATTTGGAATTTCTGTTAGCGACAGTGAATGAGAAAATAAAAGCGAACATATTTATATAATAATGTAACAAAATTGTTCAATGAATGTGTTGAGGAAAGTTTGTGACATGTCCTTCTGTGGTATATGATATGATATGATATAATGAGTTGCAAAGATTGCATCCTGATAACTTTCCAAAACAAGACAAAAAACAAAAAATCAAAGAATCCAGAAACTCACAACAATTCATTCATTATCTTTCCATGTATTTCTGTCCCTTACTTATACATATGTTTGTGTATGTGTGACTCCATATGTATGTATGTATGTATGTGTGTGCGTGTGTGTGTGTGTGTCTGTCTATCTGTCTGTGTGCAACTCGTTGCAAAATATAAAAAAGGACGAAATTTTTGAGAACGATTTGTTTTTTTTTTGAAAAGAAACGAGTACGTATCGAGCAGAAGCGACAATGAGATAATGAAATAGAGAATAGTGATGATGGCGCCTGATACTGGGAGAAATTCACCACCGGATTGTTTCTGATTTTAAATTCGGTGGAAAAAAATTTTCGAACTTTTTTGATTAGACAGAGAACGAGTAGCATTAGGCTACATTCGGAAAATAGGCTTAGCACACGAAGAGCTTTTAAAGACGGTAAACGATGTAAGAATTTTGTCGCACCAAATTCCTAACCTCTTCCAGGTCTTGTCAAACACCGTTTGTTTTTTAAACATTTCCTTTTAGAACCTCTTTTCTAGAGTATATTCCAAGCTGGGTAACAAAAAAATAGCATAAACAGTTCAAATTCAAAGCAATCACTAACAAAATCAACCGTTACCATCAACATTTGTGACTTTGAAAAGAAAAATTTTTCAAAAATTAGACATGAATCTACCACTGCAGTAAAGATCTCAAAACAGGAACTGTGCTACTAAAACTAATGGAGATTTTTAAATTGAAATTAGAAAGCTTTCTTAAGAGAGATCATTCCTTAAAGGATCAGAATAAAACGATACAAAGGAAACCTAAGGGATAATAATCGTCATATTTGAGCTTGTAAAGTTTAAATTTCACATTTAGGGGATATTTTTTTGAGGTCTACATTTTTTGCGCTTTAATTGTGACTTGCAAAAAAACTAAATGATGCGCAAAATCAATGCACAAAAGAAATACACCATGGATTATTGATGAGGTCAAAGCTGTAAATTTTATAAACCCTATTGTGTAGACCAAACTGTTTATTGCAAATTTTGACAATATATGCCAAAACATTTCGGAATAACAAACAGATATGAGCAAGCAATAAGTACCTGATAATTAAATTTACAAAAATTTTTGAAAATAAAGGAATATATTCAAGTCAGAAAGTCCGAGTAATGTGCAATTTTCTTTGATAAGATAAGAAGTATCATTTGACTTTTTATAATTTTTCAAAATTATAATTCGAATTAGGAGCAGGGCTTAGATTCAGAATGTTATAAAGTGTTGATTAGTCTAAAACTCAAAATGAATTATTCAATAATAGCATCACAAAGTCTAAGACACTCATTCCTGGCTAAATGAGAATGCTTCGATGAGACAAATTTCTCTTCAGAATTTTACTATTGAAATAGCAAAACTCACCAAGTCATTATTTCTGATAACATTTTATTGAAATGTTCAATTCGCTGATTTCATTTCCCTCTTACATTCGCTATTTAAATAAATGACTTATGATAGGCTGTGAGCGTCCACAGCATCCAGCCTTCCCCATTATAATTTTCAAAATGAATCATAGCATTTGAATCCCGCCTGATAATAACTTTAGGTTATTTTCAGTGTACTTCCTTAGAAGACATGATATGTCGCCTCCTCTGAACTAGTCTCTTGCGATTTTGAGACAGCTCAATAAGCCAATGATGCAGTTGTATTTTTACTTTGGTTCAAGGAAGAATTGTTTAAAATTTATTTAAAAGTAATTCCTTGCTAGTGAAAGTAAAGAAATGCAATAGAAGATTTCAGGAAGCTATCGCAGTTAGCAAATGATTTTAAATCCTCACCGTCAATTCAAGTCTTGATGCTCATTTCAAGTACAATTATTAACTATCAATTTAAAATTATATACTGTACGAAATAAGCCAAAAACAAGTAGCATCAGTGGCAACAGACTAGGCAAAATTTAGGAAGGATAGCTGAAAATCCTAACTACCATTATGTTCTTTAAGATTTCTTCAAAGACTCCCAATGGAAAATTAATATCTGAAATTTAAGTTTATCGCAAACCAAAATAAAAAGAAAAAAAGTGAGAAATACGACATGCGGAAAAAAATCTGATAAATTTCAAAGTTACAAATCGAAGCTTTGGAAGGATGCGAAGATCAAATGTTCTTTGAATTTGAAAAACGGAATTCGTTTTCGGAAATGAAGAAAATTATAAAGAGATTTAAACAATGTATGATCTATGGAAAGTGTGAAAAAAGCGAGCCTACTGTTCCTTAATGGCTCTAAAAAATTACTTACTTAAAAAGCAATGATTTATTATTATCGCTTTACATCTTTCGGCAAAATTCACTATAGCCCACTGTTATATGTATTCGTTATGGAAATGTTTCAGGAATTTTATTCTTAAAAATGATTGACATATATTACATTACTAATTGATATATATATATATATATATATATATATATATGAGAAATGTGACAAAGTGTTGCTGTGTTTGTTCAATCAAAATTTTCTTTTTCAAAGAAAGTATTTAAGAGTATTTCAGTAAAAGAGTTCAAATATATTCCTTTCGAAGTGTTAGCAGAGCAAATGGTTTGCCTTAAAAAAAATTTTAAATTACCCATAACTCTTCTACGTATAATGCTGAATTTTTGAAACTGAAGTACACAATGTACTTTTTTCAAATTTTTTACGACCGGTGAACAAAATAATTAAATGACGGTGGGAATGGGAATGGATACGTTGAAAACAGTACCGCTTCAAGGTGGACAGTTTTCAAATAGCTGGAGTATTGATTCATATATTTTTCTTAAACTTTCATAGGGAGGAATTTTATTCCATGTCGTACATTGTTATACCAATTAAAAGCAGTCCATCTAAAAGGGTTTTTCATGGATGAAATGGAAATGTAAATTCATTAGCTAAGAATTACTACATGAAACCAATCATCATTTCTTTGAGAAGTAGAAATCATTCCACTGTGAAGTCACATTGCCCCATGTGAGCCAGGAAAAAAATTCCAAAAATTTTTGTTGAGTAAAAGCGGCAGCAGCGGCAGTTACACATAATTCGATGCCAAGCAAAAACGATAGGAACATATGGATGGATGCAGGGCAATTCGCTACAAAAAATCGTTTAATATGGGTACAGAAGAATGCGCACTCGTCCCTTCTCTTTTTTCCTTCTTGCAGTAGTCGCCAGCTTCATTCCCATTATAGCCCCGAACTCCGTCTCCAACGGCTTGCCTCCACAACTCCATCCTTTTTCACTCTTTGTTCCACGTTTGAAAGAATAGCTTAAGAATTGAAGGATTATTACGTGTATAGTGAAAAAATCCTTCCTTCGTCCGGACAAAAAATCCATTTTTGAAAACTCGCTTTTTACGCCGAAAAAAAAAAGTCCAGCTAGCCGGCAAATTGTAGGTATCAGAGCTCGCAGCTCTGGCAGCTACTTTTTCCCAACAACGCCTGCCTTGCCTTGTATTGCTTCAGACTAGTAGCAATAATAGTGGCATATAGATCGTCTTCTGCACCCCTCAAAATGAATAAATTACAAAAAAAAATCAAACAATTCAAGGGCATTTTTTGATTGAATTACATGCCTTTTTTCATCTTTTTACAGTCACAATCAAAATTCATTATAACGACAAATTCCCTCTGGATCTTTTGAATTTTCTCCAAGGAAGTTTGAGGGTATTTTCGAGGTGACAGCTACTTTTTCACTGGAGACATTCCTGTAAAAAAAACTTCAGCAGCCAACAGTCTGCGTTCCTGTTCACCTATAATCTACTAGTTCCGGCCTAACTCTGTAGAACCAATAAAACAATAAAGTCGTAGATGATCGTTTCAAAATAGTGAAACAACATAATAGGAGACACAGTTTCCACAGTGCAAGAAAAGGTTATCTTCCAAACAGCACTTTTTCTCAATGTTTTGCAAAAGTCATTTATAAGAAACAAGAAGTATTGTGTCCAGTGAGATGATGTCTTCAGATTATCATTATTATGAGCAATGTGTAATCACAAAACATTTGGAAAATGAAGGAAGATTTTTTTCGAGGACGACGACCCCTCTTCAATTTTCAGTCCCTCTCGAAAAAACAAACGGAGAAAGTGGACAGTTGGTCATTCATTTGACTGTGCTGAGAGGGTAGTGTAGGCGGATTTGTTCAGCATTCACTGGGGTCAACTATTAAAGAGCTCGAGTTCTCTGGTCAAATTCAACATCTCTCATCAAATTTCGCACTCCATCTTCATCCCTCTTTCTGTAATTCGACCTCTCTCATATTCCGTTTTCCTATTCCAACTATCCAATAAAATGGGTTTTTCATCTTCGAACAACCAAGCAAACAAATTCCAAATGGAATGATTGCCACAAACAGCTGACTTCCTATCTTCCATTTTTTTATTTCTCTGCAACTCACTATTTCTAATCTCTATCCATCTAATCTTCGATTCCTAACGCTCATTTCTAATTCCTGATCACTAACCTTTCCTGAGAGTGATCATTTAATTTAGGCTGTCCAAGGGAAAAGGTCAATTTACGTCTGTTGGAAAAAATTCTGCTCTCTCACACATCAAAAATGATTTGACCGAGTCACAATCTGCCCACTACTGTAATGTCCATCAAATATTTTCCAATACATATACTATCAGAAGACCTTCTACATGAACCTGAAATAACCTCTTGTAAACTAAGTGATCCTTTCTAGTTCCCCCAAATTATCGGATATAGTTTAAAAAAATGGCGATAAATCATGCTTTCCCTCATTTCGATTTCTCTTATTTGCTCAGTAGAAATTAAACTTACACCTTTCGCACTTTTTGACTGTGAAAGTAATAGGTCCTTATGAAGGAAAGTTACTTATCCGATGGCTAAGACTATACGTACAAATCTGAACTTTATCACTTAAACGCAAGTAAACAGAAGCACAGCGCGAATACGTGACGTAGTTGTAAAGCGGACGAAATATCACAAATATAAAGTTTCAAACTAAGAGATGCTATGTTACAATATCAAACGCTAATAGCTGAACAAAGCAAAATGCAGTACTGATATCTGATTCGGTATCTTATCGAGTGAGGAAACAATAAAACCGTATAATATACCTGTAATCATTCGAAGTATGCTTCTCTCCACATTACCTATATTAAGTATGATCCATAAATGTATCACCTAATTATTAATTTCACAATTTCTTAACAGTTCACTTCTTCGACCTTTTTCAAAATAATCAAATGTAATGGGAAAAAGAAACTGAAAAATGAGAAGAGAATGTGCCTGTTGTAAAAATTTGCATTTGCGATCGTTCCACAATAAGCAATAGGATCAGATGGTAGTCTTTTATTCATACTTCATCTTACCGCAAAATAAAAAAACTCCTATTTCTCGAATGAACTTGACCTCTACCTCTGCCCTATCCCTTTGCAATCAAGTTTTTTACATAAATCTCTTCCTCTTCTCAACCTCTCTTCTTTTTTCCCCTTCCCCATTATTTCACGTTGATTTTTCCTCGCAAAAAAGCTTAAATGTGAAACTTAAAAATTGTGTGCATAAAGCAAAAGAATAACAGGATCAGTGATCTTTTCAAAATAAAAATAGAATAATACTATAAAGATTATCGCATGTCCTAAAGATGAGAGTTTTTTTTTATTGAAGACTTTCGAAGTCATATATAAACGGTGCGCAACTGATTGAGACAAGATGGCGGAGTTAGTTGTCATTTTCCAATGTTCTCCGTTTGGTGCGCTGATGAGCAACAACGCGATAGTATTATTTTTGAAATGAAATAAAACAAAAATAAGTATTAAACATAAAGTATCAGCAGTGTCCAAGTATCATGCTATGCAAGGAAAGGGGTTAAATGCCAAAAAATACCTGTGACTCTTGGTTTTTCAGAGATTCTTTCAGATTCGAAAACAAAACGAAATGTAGATAATATTTTTTCTGTTTCCCTCGAAAATTGAATGCCTGAAAAATTCTAAAACTGACCATTTCTGTCATATGCATTCAAGATGTGGCTAAAAATATTCAAGAATGTAGAATTAACATATTTATTTATCTATTCAGGCTCTTCATCATTAATTACCTTTTTACCATATTTCGGAGATATGCTCCAGCATGCAAATGCTTTCCAAAAATTAAAAAGAAAAAAATTGGTTGGAAAACCATGAAATAATTTATTTAGATTTTGATGCCAAGCTTTATAGTAATATTTTCTAACTGATGAGTGATCTCAACAGGAACTAAAAGATGCAAAATAATAAATTGGTCTCATAGAATTCAAGCGTTCTATTCTCTGTAACATTGACTGATGGTAGTGATCTGTTGTTTTCATATACAACGGTGCTGATAAAGAAGTGAATTCGCTTCATTCCAATTCCACTTCTATTCTCCTTGACTGATCGCATTGGACTTCTGACCAATGGCTCATCGCCAATCGTTTTAACCGTTGTTTTATCTTCTTGGATATTCATAAAATTCACTATCGCACACGTTTGTCATCATCGCTTGCAACGCAGAAATATAGGAACACCCACCATATGCATGATAATAAGCAAGATGGAAGGGGTGGAGTGATGGATGTGGAGGCGGCGCCAGAAAGTCTCCAAGATCATCCATTGGAGGATGAGAACATTTTGCCAAAGTTTTGATACCATATACCAGTCAGACAACCCTACTGATAAAATGTGGCCAAATTTTTGATTCGGGGTTAAATTTCAACGACAGTTCTTTTAGAACTGGATTTATTTGTCCAATTTATTGTTAATTTTTCTAGCCATGAAAATTGGACATTTATTGGTCTTTGGTCATCAAAAGTGGAACAAAATGCAGGATGCAGAAACTCCCATTTTGAAATTAATGAATCCTCTTATAAATCTTCCCTTAATATGTTTGAAATTTGTGGTTTTATGAACTTTAATCATTTTTAAAACGTGGTGCATTTGGATGAATAACATTCGAAGTTTGGTCATTTGAAAATATTTCTGAAAAATCTGAGAAAACAGCCAGCATGTGCTTCTCAACTTGCCTCCTAACTTCGGCTACCATGTAAAGCGCAACAAAAGCGACATTAATAGAGAAGTGATGTCTTTTTATTTAAATTTCCTCCGAAGATTAATAATGCTGGACAAAACTGAATGTGACTAAAACTAAAATAAATTAAATTTAGTTGAACTGAACTGAATAAATGAAATGTTGTAGACATAGAAATTTAATGAAAAGTGAATTAAGGCTAAAAGAAATAGGGTGAATATAAGGATTAAAAAGTCCCCTAATTTCAGGAGAATTGAGTAAAGTTATGGATACAAATGAAATAATTGGAAATTCATTAGAAAATATCTGAATAGTAAGCTAAAAAATTACTGTAATAGCTGCATGAAAATGTCGATATGCGTGTTTTGATAATTCTAAATCAAGAAATTTTCGACAATTGTAATTCCATAAAATATAGAGTGGGTCTCTCCTAGATAAGGAAGAGGTTATGGAAGTGCTCTGTAAGAAGTCTAAAATAACTTATTAACAGTACATTGAGGAATTCAGGGGTTTTTCAGTACCGCCATTCTAACGAGATTTATTAGAAAGGAATTTCTGAACATTTATATTTGCAACCACGTTATGTTCCTGAAATTAGGAGGACTTGACCTTTTCATATTTTTTCGTTTATATAATATTTTAGTTCAGGTCAGAAAGCTAATTCGGAGTTGGCAATTCAAAACTGATTCTGAAGAGAAAAAAGAGTAATAAACTTTTCGACATACAACGGCGTGGAATAAGTGCTCTGAATACAAAATTTCGAAAACAATATTTTTCATTGTAAATAAATCAACTTTTTTAAAACGATATATTAAAAAGAATTTTTTTTTTAATGAATAGGTTTTTTTGAATTATATTTCGATACATTCACATTTATCAGAAACTACAAATTGCAAATTTTGTCTGCAATAAGTTTTTGTTGATGCATTGTTTTTGTCGTTTGAATTAATGTGGGATTTACGGCCGCCTTTATAGCAGTTTAAATCAATAAATGTATGAGTTCTAAATTGATGTATATCAGTCGTTCTTCACTACGTTACCATTGTAAAATTAAAGATCTCAAATGTATAATTTTCTAATCTGTTAGTTTGTTGCCTTATGCCTTAAAAGTAATAATAGGGCTTCATTGCTTGGATTGAAATTTTATTTAAGAAGAAGGAATACTTCTAAAAAATTTTGCTAAAAAAGAGCCACTGCAATTGTTGTTCACCAACTGCGTTGTTTCTGCTACCCCGTTACAGTACTTAACTCTCTTGCATTTTTCGAGGTTTGACTTTCTGGATAAATATAGTTTCGCCTCCTTGCCAGGCACTGCAAGAAAATCTTAACAAATCAAATATGACTATTATCAAAACCTAATGAATCTTCTCCTCTGGGAAACAGAGTGTCAAATCAGTCCTGTCGTAACCTATAAGAAAACCTAGAAGTATGATATTTTAGATAATTTAATTCATTAACTATTTTCATCATAAACTCAAATTTTGCTTCTACACCAGTAAGTAATGTTATCCTTTTCCGGAATTACAAATTGAAAGTTTCGAGGATGAGAATAATATCTAATTCGTGATAACAACTTATCAACTTATCATGTAAAAATAATATATTCGGAAAGATTTTAAAAAAAGAAGTATTATACCTTTTGAGATAAATGACGTGTCGAAGGTTAAATCAATGAATTAGAATTTAGTAATAGTAAAGCATGGATGCGCCACCCCTTCACCGATATGAAAATGAAATGAAACCCAAACGGTCACTGATTCTCTCGCTTATATTGCATTGGTCAGTGAAGATAAAACCAATGAGAGACAAGTCTAGTTGAAGGTGCCTCATTTCTGCAGCCTGACCCCTCCTTTCGAATTCTATTGTAAGAGTTGGAATAAGTTCTGAAAAACTGTATGATTTAGGGGATAAACATCGATGGTTAAAGAAAAATACACAGAATATTGATGGAAGCTAATGTAGTAGAGAAGTTAGACGACAAAAAAGACAACCATTTGTTAGATTTTCGATAAAAAAGTAAACGCTAACAAGAAAGTCTTAGAAACGAGGGATCAGAAAGATATCGGCAAATAGATCAGTCCTGAAGCGATAAAAGATAATAGCATAACGATGTTAATTAACCGCAGTGGAATCATCAAATGACCGCGGTGAATTCAAGCTTTTGTTTCCCGCGGTATCAAAGATTTGACTGGGAATAATTCAAAAAATTAAGATTTCATCACCTTACACAATAGCTTGCTGAAGTTTTAAGTGTGAAATCTTTTAAGACTGAGTTTCATTCAAATTCTTGATCCGATATTACAGTCATACGTGATTCAGAATGAGATTTCCGGATTGCAGCCTGAATGAGAAAGTCGTCATGTCATTAAAATATACATTAATTTGGAATTATCCGTCCACTTTCATTATTCATAACATACATTAAATAGGAAGCTTGTTGTAATAAAAAATTCATATTCAACAATTTTTAAATTAAATTAAGGAGAAAGATCAAAACACGGACCTCTTTATTAGTATTTTCCATCATCTGAGAATTTCAGAAGATGGATAATTCCAGTCATCTTTTGTTCCATTAAATTAATCATCATAATGTAACCAAGAAGATAATATCAGGTTGAAATATTACAAATTTGACCTTCTACTTCATCCCGCTATGAAAAATAGCAAATAGTAATATACATGAAATTTATAGCGGTCATTTGCATCTGTTCTGTTTGCTGAACTGCTTATTTTATCCATTTCTGCTTTTGTATTTACTCCAAGTATGTCCACCAGGTGCTGCTTTTTGTTTTGTTTCGGAAAGATGCTAGGATAAAAATGAAATGTCCAATTATGCGGGTCAAATATAACTGAACTAACGATATTACATTAAATAGGGGATATGGACAAATACAGTAATGTACTTTTGAATTCCTTAAAAAATTAGTTTGTTTGGCAGTTGATTGTGCAAGGAAATCCTTGTTAGTTTTAACATATCGAACTTCTCCGGCAGTGTTTATGGCTTGGTTTTAGATTCCAGACAAATACTTTTTCTCCACTTTTAAAATATCCCATAAAGGTTTTGCCAGTTTATATCTTTTCAGCAAATAATTTTTTTTTATTTCTGGTTTGGGACGAAATCCGTAGAACTAAAAGGTCTGTAAAGCAATGTTTTTACTGTAAGACTATGGTAATTCCGCGACTGTATTGAAGCGAAAGAATTCTACAGAATGAAGAAGTTTGAGAAAGATTCGATGAGGTAAGCAGAAATTATTTAATCTAATTACAGTCACCTTGACATAAGTGTGAGAAGAAGCTGATAAGAAAGTCAGTTGATAAGAAGGCCTGAAGTTACAGCTATCTTATCTTTGGAATGTGGGAAATAATTAATGAAATCAGGATCGAAGCACATAAAAGATGAATTCTATAATTTTATGCAAATGAAAAAAAAAGTTCCTGCTCTGCTTCAGTCTTCCATGCGACAACTTATTAATGTTATTTCCTTTTTCATTTACAATGATAGCTATAATATAGCTTTATTAATATTAAAACAAAGAAATGTATATGTACAAATGAGTAACTATATATAAAAGCATGTTTTATCTTTAGAACTTTAGTAAAACGATGACATTAAATGCGCATTACTATTAGAAATTTTATTTTGAAGGTCATTTTTGTTGTTTGCTCGCTGACTCTCTCGCAAACAATAATCTTTTCAGGAGATCAAACACTGAAAACATTTGGGGCATGCGAAAGTTTTCAGAGTTTCATCACTTGGAAGAATTGTTGTTTTCGATGGTCACTATCATTCCTTTTTTGAAGGTCATTCCAAATGCATGATGAAGATGAAATACGGCGATAAAACCGCACTAGTGGACATTGCAATAGCCATTCGTCCGGGGTCAAATCAAATTAGTGTTGCTTTTGGGAAAAAGTGCATTCGGTTTTACTGGCACACCGAAATTTTTTCATTGCTACTGAGACGATTCGTCGTTTCTGTAACTGTCAAACCTCTTTTCTCTGCAGCTTTTCTTTATATTGTTCACATTGAATTTCAGCCACGATACAAACACTCTTTAATATCGTCCGGAAGGAAGTACACCCACAGAGAGGTCAACTGAAAGGGGTCAGTCATTTTGTGCTTCCATCCAAAACCCACTTAAAATGATGTGAAGCCCGCCAGTTTCTCTGCAATTCAATGAAATGCACTATTTAATCATTCACTCTCATCGTTCCCAATGGTCTTTCACCAATTTCACAAAACATTCTCTTCAAACTTCAAGCATAACCTCATCACTTTATCGCTCGAAAATATTCGCACACAATTTTGCTTCCATTCATATCATTGTGAATAATATTTGCGGGAATTATGCAAAAAAAAAAAGCTTATTCAAATCAAAATTACAAACATTAAATGGCCTTTAAAACAATTAGTAGAAAGTATCGGAAAGGAAGGCAACAAATTTGCAAAAGTTAATGTATATATAAATATGATAAAGCAAATTCCCGAATCACTGATGCTTAACACAGAGATTCATCACGATATTTGAATTGTGGTAAAGTTGTAATCATATCATTTATTAGGAATTCACTTCTACTTTTTATTTCGCATCGATGAGTAAGTTTTTTCTTTCAATTAGCTAATGTCCATGTATTAGTTCACTTCGAGAATTATTCTAATGTACGAAACAAAACTAAAGTAAATCGCTAAGTTCATACCATAGGATTCAACTGCACTCTATTCAGTGCAATGATTTCTTTACTCCTGTTGGATAAGAGTGGATACTTTCTTAAAAATTATTTCACGGAATCTATTTAGTGTTTATTTCAAACTAAATAATCAACTATCGATAGCCAAATCTGCATTTTGTGTTGTCGAACTTTGCTTATACCCTTCAAGAACTCTATCCTTATGCTCTATTAAACGATAAAACTTTCAAACCAGAGGTCATCATTTGTTAAAGGAATGTTTGAAAATGAGAGATAATTTTGAAATGGTAATACAAATCAGAAAAGCATATAAATATAAAGAATGAGTAAAAATGCAGATATGTGGCGCCGTTTTGAGTGAATAGTGATGGATGTTGAATACGAAATGGAGTTTTTCTTTTTTAAAGGTTGGATTAGGATGGAAGGGGAAGGGATCGGGAAATATAACAGTAGGTCAAAAGTAAGTAAGGTAGGGAGAGAGGGAAAGAGTTGCTGCTGTTACCATCAAAATGTGTAAATTTCTAAAATAGTGGAACCGAGAAAAGGCGGATAGGATAGGGGTCGGAGGAAGGGTTTTTATCAGATGGGATGGCCTCGAAAAAAAATGATTTTAGCTATTCCTATGCTGCACACAGTTTTTTGCAATTTTTTTTGTGATTTGAAGCAAATATCGCCGTGCAAATACAGACCAGACCGACAGAAAAGGAATGAGAAGCGGTAAATGTACACACACACACACACGCATGCAGACATACACACACACAGACACATACGCACAGACACATACACACAGACACAAACACACAGACACAAACACCAGCACATTACTAAAAAGTTTGATAAGCTGTGCGGTTGTGATATGAGTGTCACACAAAAAACAACAATTAAACCGTAACAGAATTATTGTCAACGATACTTTAAATGTCATCCAAAAAGCGTTTATTGCAGTGATTTGGAGCGCAACATTTGCCACATTTCGTAATGTGTAGGTACTTCCGGATGCAATCCTATTGTTAGGTATCTATTATTCTATCAGTGAATTGCAAAAAGTTATGCATGTCACCTCTCACATGGATATGCATGACCTTTGAACAATCAGTAGCACTTTTTTCTTCCTATTTCTGTAGAAAACGGAATCAGACCGTTATCAGCCAGTTTGCATTTTTGAATATGACTAAAAACACTGAAATATGTCGTGAACGTGATAGAATTGCTTGCAAATACCGTTGACCAGTGTCCGATGGGTCAGTATTCAATGAGCTGAATTCTTTTACTTCATAAGTGAAATAAAGAACTTACAATAAGAAGAAAATGGCAAAAAAAACGGAATAAAGCACTGTGAACCAAAAACAGAAATGCATTAATCGCGCATAAATGAAAATTAAAATTAAAAAAGTGAATAAGAAAGAGGAGAAACGAGATTAAAAGGAAAAAAGCGCAAAGAAAATTTAATAAAATGGATGAAGAATCACCACGAAATTCTAATATTGCCAATTTAGAGCCGATTTTTTGACATACATTGCGGTTTGTTTCATGGGCTCTATATTGCGTGACCAGAGCTTCCAAAGGAATTTTTTTAAATTAAAATTTTATTGTCCAAACCGATAATGAAGTTTAAGCATCGTAGCGAATGTATTTGGCATGAAGTTTAGAGATGAACCGAGACAGACAACGCTAAATCCTTATGATTAATTCAAAAGCTAATCGTCATTTTTATTGAAAAAAAAATTTTTTTTTGCTACTGATCTTTGATCCTATCAGTTTTGAAGTCTTTTAATACTGCTAATTTTACTCATCCCAACGTTTCATTCCTTCCGTAATTCTAAATATTCCGTGTAATTTTTTATGTAACCGTGCCGAAAATGTTAAATTTTAAGAGATTAATCTTAATTTATATGTTTTAAAATGATGATCTTACGAAAAAAAACAAAAATGAAGGAATATATTGCAGCTGCTGCACTTTTGATGCAAACTAATTGGATCTGTTTCAGCAATTTTAAATCGTGTAGTGGAAAGCAGGATTTCATTTGTCATTTGGAGTAAATGCTAAAAAGACATTTCATCGTTTTAAAAAATTCTATGCAGACAAAAATTAATTAGGTTCTAATTAATTAATTCGGTTCTAATCAAGATCCTAGGATGATTTGATGGCGCTTAAGCCAAAGATTAATACATTTCTTGTGATCAACACTTCATAAAATAATTTATCCACTCAATTTTTGCTAAATGCTTTCTAGCCTGATTTGCCTTAATGCTCCTAAAAAGAAAGTAATTTCCAGGTAATCGTATCTCAAAGTAATCATTAATTAAGTGGCCTACCTGATATGATTATTTTCAGAGGATATCATAATTAATCAGAGTTTCCATAAATAATTACTGCGAGCATGACACTGCTATAAATTGGAATACAGCAGTAAATATTGCAGCACCAACAGGAAGTGAAAGAAAAATGATCTTAAAATGTATGACTTTAATTCGACTTCACAAATATTCTCTAGCTATGAAAAAAAAACTGACTCGCTCTTCCAGCGGCTGAAATCAATCTTACAAATTTCCAGGTGATAAGTCATTGAAAACTATGATAAATTCATATTAAAAAAACAATTTAAAAAATTTTTTATCCAATTTTATAGTATCAAGTGGATGACAGAGGAAAATCGTTATACCAGAGACACAGATAAAATCGTCATATGCTATCCATAATTATGATTTGAATATAAAATGTGCAAACTTTGTGTGTCTTATCTATTTGAAATCAATATTGCATTCTTTCTTTAAGTTCTCGAGAGCCGTACGGTATTGCACGAAATCGAAAATAAGGAGAAATTATGTGAAAAGAATATGTGAGTAATTATATGAGTTCTCTCTTTTTTTGCAACAAAGATGGACGAGCGGGAAGGGAAGTGAAGTCTGAAGAAGACTAATGAAACTCCAAATAATTATGACAAGATAATAGAAATTAATAATTTTCCAGAAACATCTGCCTTCCGTGAAAATCGGTCGGTTTATTAATTCAAATTAATTCTAATTTTTATACACTGGAATGTCGACCTTTCGTTTATACAAATTAAACATATCCATTGAGGATTATATCTAATACATTATCCATATCTTGAAAAGTTAATAATATGTTTCATACTTCAGAACTTTTACTTGAAAGTGTAATTTCGTACAGTCATCCAGAGGGGTTATTAATATCAACTCTAATGAACTAAAACATACTAAAATATGATGGAATCCCCAATGTTGTAACAAGAATTAGCAAACAGAATATTAAGTGAGAAATTTAGAAAAGGATTTCGAATGAGAGGAAAACGAAAGAACAAAATCATTTTGCAAATGTTTCATCTTGAAATAATTGAATTTTAACTGTGGAAGCGTAAAATCAAGCGAGCAAATTAAGTTAGGTAAATTGTTCAAAAGTGCTTTAAGTAAATTGAAAATGCATAAAAACGAATAATGCTGCAAGAAAAAACAAAAACAAAAACAAAATTACACATAGAAAAATTTAGCGAACAGAATTTTAAATTTTCTTTTTTATTTGAAATGAAACAGCGCTATTATCAGATTTCCATTTAAATCACAACAGAAGGCCTTCCAAAGAACAGATTTTGTGTTAATGCGTTATCAATGGTCTGTTATTTCGGTGATTACTTATCACTTGAATGAAATGATAAAAAAAGACTGTTCTCTAGTATCCGTTCTAATCTAAAACAAGGCTCAAACAACAACTCTGTAAAACTATAAAAAAAACCATGTCGTACACAGCTTATTACTTAACTTATCCGAGTTCAATTTTCAAGTGCATTTCCCTTATTTGCAAATAATGATTGGTATCGATAATGAACAATTGTTATCTAGATGTCAAGTTATTACTTGGGCAAAATCTCCAAGTGTTCACAATTATTGATCTCTAGTCTCAACGGAAAAGATATTGGTTCCCAATGAAAGAAATCTATTCTAAAGAAGGAAAATAGGGAGGTAATTTAAATATTAATTTATTCGATGGCTCTGCTCTAAAATATGGTAAAACTATGGCAGAGATTTTCTGCATCAAGAGCTTGTAGAATTTTCAATCAGTGCAAGTATCACACTACCAGGAGAAATGTATCCCGGTCTTTCTCTAGTGGAATATGTCTCGCCATATGTCTAACGAAATTTATTATTCAGTCTTGACCATTAGTTAATTTAATTTTTTTCATTGCTTAACAGCTTCCATACATGGAGTTTGCTGCTGGCCAGAAGCAAATTTTTAGTCTCCCTTAAAAGTTTATCCATAATTGAAGTTATTTAAAGTCTTTTGTAAAACTTGACTACTTCCTCTTTGTTTTGAGGAATTGGCATTTCCTAACAATTTGTAAATCTTCCTAGTAATACTGCATAGGATCAGAGATTTCGGAAAAATTGTGTTCGCTTTTTAGGCTTTTTCAAAGTCGCAAATCCATTTTCCGTCTATAACCTCCCTTCTCCACGCGTTTTTTCCTTTTTTTTTAAAGAAAAAACTTTCCGGGCAATTCAGGAAGCAATTTTGAATCTGCACACAAAAATCCAATTGGAATGGAAAATACACTTTTGTTAAAAAGACTTCCACAACATTTTCTAAAGGCAGAACCTAACATTTTAGTGCTTAACAGAATGCAATTTTCTGGGCCTAAATCAATGCATAATACGAAGAAGGTAATAGTTGCCACAATAGTTGATGCAGCAAGTTTTGGCCTCGAATTTCGAATTCCATTTCAAATGGACAAGGAATTACTTCACTATTTCAATGTGTAATGTACAACGAAACAAAAATTGGATAAATTTTAGCTAATGTGAAGATTTGATTTTTTGGGAGAAGTTAAGAAGCACAAGAAATTATAATTGAAATAAGTAAGCCTGTAATTTGCGTAAATTGAAGGAGTAGAAGTTTCCAAAAAGGGGGAAGTTCACATATGCTCATTGACGAAGGGAATGGAATTACAGGCTTAGTTATTGCAATTATGTGAAAGCACTCTTAAATTCATAAAATGAATAGCGCAGTTTTGTGTAAACGGTTTTTATTGGAACAGAATAGTAAATCCGAAGTTTATTTCATTTATTTCAATTTTAACACACTCAAGCAATTAAAATTTTTGCACTACTTTAGTTAGTTGTTGGTAAAAGACCATAATAAGAGATAAGAAGAGGAAAAAATCATAACATAAATAATATTTAAATGGAAAAGAAAAGTCCATCCAATAATGATATTTTGAATTGGAAGAGATCTTTTCGAAACTGATAAGAAGAAGGGCAGTTGAAGACCTTTTGAATATTATCTGTCATTGTGTCTGCGACAGACAACATTGAAAGAAATTATGTGTAAAAATAATTCTTGATTTAGATCACTTTGTTTCCTAAACTACAGTAATTTTGTGCACATTTCAAATATAAAAGTATGAGAAAATATGAAATGTAAATGATCTTTGCCGCTCTACTTAAAAATATCTACAAAACATTCAAAGAAATATTTGCAACTTGATCGTTTCAAACCGAAAAAATAGAAAAAATCTCAGAGGAAGCGAAAAAAAGAAATCCAACCTTTTAAGTAATATTAAGACAACTGGTATGCGATGATTAAAATGAATATGATGAGGAATGCATTCTTTGGTTCCATTTTCTTCCGTTGTCGTGCAGTCATACTACCTGAAAATGATAAATGATAGATTTTGTTGAATTATATTCAATTCCTCTATGTCTTGCTTCAATTAGTCAAAGCCATAACTTCGAAAAAGTAAACAATGTAAAAGAGCCCAGCTATTGATGGCATATACTTAGACAAATGTGTAATTTCCGATGCATAGATATTTGTACTTCATTATGCCAGTGGGAAAATTTCTGGAGTAACTGAATGCAACTAACAAATACTTGTAGAAACGTACGAAGTACCTAAGTACGATTCTTTATAGGATGCTAACTGGAAGCCTTGTATCATTCATAAAAATACAAATAATTTTGACACAATTTCATTTAATTCGTTTGACATAAGTGACCATTTTTTAGCAAGTTTTAAGTAAAGTATCAAACAACTGGAAAGTTTTTACGGATGGAAGTGAATGCAGAAAAGAAGAAAAAATGGAAATTGCACACGAACAAAGCTCTTTTTTAAATTAATGAAAACAGAGGAAATTTTGTGAGGCGAGAATCAAGTTTAAAAGGTTTTTTTTTCCTTTTAATTGTTGAGATGTAAAGGGAAAAGTGAATGTGGATGGGAGGATAGAGGAAAGGAAAATGAACTCCTTAAATTTACTTCTTTTGAGAGGAGCTAACTGAAGCGTAGCATTACTTAACTTAGAATAGAAGCGCACCTCATTTCTCCATCCTTGCTTGGAAGCTTTCTTTGGAAAATTTTTTAAAAGCTGCTAACTTTTAGCATTACGAAAAAACCGCCCCCCCCCACTTTTATTTTTTTATTTTTTAAAAAGCATTTGCCCATTAAAAGAAAATGACATTTTTCAGCCTTATATCAAGATCGACAGCGAAGAATTACGAATATGTGAAGCTACTGACGCTGCCACTTTCTCTACTAATCGTGAGATTTGCGGCGCTAATTTGTCGTGAAAATTCAAGCACATCGTTCACCAACAAAAATACATTTCTGCTTGCCAAATTACGAGAATGACCTCGACAGATGGATTGCGCATATGCATATCCGAGTACCGATATTTTTCTATGCAATAAATTTTACTCATTGCAGATCAAATTGAGCAGCTTCAGTTGATCCAATCAGTGACTGTAGTGATTTCTAGCCAAAGATATGGGTTTTGAACTGCTCTGCCGTGATCAGTGATCAGTTCGACTTCATGGCAATTGATCGTTCACTTGATAAAATAACGAACGGCTTTGACGATATAGCACACTTTCAGCTAGAAAAAAGTCTCATAAAGTATCTGAACAATTGAAAATATCATTTAGGAAATTTCGGGGTTTTTCTCATGAAATACTTGTTAACAGACAAATAAATAAAAGACCATTTACTTTGCACTACACATCTGTTATCATCATTATCAATCAGAGTTACTCTAAATGCTGCTTGTCTATCAGTGCACAGGTGAACGTTGTCTCCTTCAATAAAGTGTCATCACTTATCTGCTCGAAAGCGCGTCAGGTCTGAAATGAAATAGAAGTTACAGTATTGTGCCGGACGAAATGCAGCATTGTTACATATCTTCGTACTACTTTCGGAGCATTGATTCTTTCTTGTATAGTTGCGGATCGATAAAAGAATTGGATTCCCCCCAAATTTTTTTCCAAAATTGAAAGTAGAGGATGGTAGTTTTCTGTATGGGATAGTGATAAGCCTGTCTGGTTTAAAATGATAATGCAAATACTGGCCAAAGGCACAGTTTTTATTGGACCAAAAAAGATCCCAATAAAAACTTGCAAACACTTGACAAAATCTGTAACACAGAATCCAAACGAAAGGTTTTCAAAATATTAAATAAAAAATTGCAATATTCGTGATTGTAAATTCAAAATTGTCTGATTCAACTTCTAAAACATCAAAAAAAAAAAATATACATATCAGATTTATCCGGGAAATAAGTAGGCTATCTGAAAAGATTTTATCTTTTCAGATTTGAGTTTTGAAGTGAGAAGTGTTTGACTGTTTTATTTACAGTAACTGAATGAAAAGGAAGCTATTATCATTTATCATGATATCAATGTGGATTTGTTCTCGGATTTAACAGATTAAATTAAGAATTGTATGAGACGAAATTGTACATAAGGCTGGGTCATGAAAAATGGACAAAGCGGTGAAACAGAACATTTATATTTATATCAAAAAAAGCCTGCGATATTTAGAAGAAGCACCCACTATTGCAAAGGGCCAATGAGCAAACAAACGTATAATAATACATATTCATAAGAGAGAAAGAGACACAAAGAAAAATTTATTTTTGAAAAGAAAATTGGTAATTTAATTGAAATGGAGCCATTTGGGGTCCACCAAAAACGTTGTGTAATTATGTCTCCCTGAAATGTATATCAAGCATGTAAGTATTTCTCATTCCGTCTCGGTCCATCTGTTTGTTTGTGTATTCGAAGTCTCCAGCTCCATATCAATAGCCATCACTGCAACAACGATAACACTGCAATTCAAGCAACCCTATTCCATTCAAAAAAAAAAAGTATATCAAATAATTTTTTAATTAATCACAAAAATTTTTCACATTATCGATACGCAATGGATAATTATGAGAGATTCGTTCCAAAACAACTGGAAGGTTAAAGGACCAGTTTCTTGATTTTACATGTTTGCAGAGGTGCAAATTCTGCTTCTGATTTTGATGTTTCTGATTTCTGTATTTGAGAGTTTCTAATAACTGTAGTTAGCAAGTATACCATCACCATGTTTTTGAATTGGAATTTAGAAATGAAATTTCAAGAGGCCAGGTATAGAAATCATCTGATGACCTCTCAAATTGGTTACTTTTATAACATCTTATCACTAAGCTTTTTGAATGAATAATTCAGAAACAGAACGCTTGTTTTGGTCCATAAGAATTGAGATGCCATTGTTTCAATACTTTTCAATTTTTTCATGACATGATGCATGAATTCTTTCGACTTCCTTCCAGAAGTTTGTACCAAACTGCAGCGATTTCGAAACAACCGAAATAATTTCGGCTGCTAACATAAATTTGAAAGCAATTTACAATAAAGCTGAATAAAAATGCAATGAAAAGTAAAGAAATTTCGATTTGAAGCAATTAAAAAATGTTTCAGAAAAAAGAGAGGTGGAAATTGGAGAATTGATTGCATTGAGGGAGAAAGGGTAAAAATGAATTGATACTGTTACCGTGCTATTTTGCAAGACTTTACTTCCCTTCAAAAAATGCGAGCTGTTTTTGGTAGTCAAAAATTAATAGAGAAAAACGAAAATTTTTTGGAACTCATGAAATGTCCTGCTTTTGAAAATTAAAGAAATGATCAGTTTTATAAAATTATTAACGAAGAAATTTCACAAAGAAAAGACAAATGACGCCGCCCAAAACGTTGTGTCAAATGTCACATCACAGAAAAAGTAACATTTTCCACACCAAGAGATGATGATAATGATCTTTTTGTCTCTCCTATAACATAATAATATTATTTCGCTTAATGCCAAAATGTAATTTTCAGTTTTTAAATTTTCCATTTAAATAAAAATGAATGTGACCTTTTTTGGAAATATAAAATACTTCTTCCCAGTGGAATGCTAAATTATCCAAATAGAAGTTCTGCTGTCGCTATGTGATAACATTCTTCGTGTGCCACGAAGTGAATGAAAATTTTCACTGTGAACTTGAAAACATCCCCTGACTCATCTCAAAATGTCTTTTCATGGTTCAAACATTTTTGTAATAAAAAATTATAGCCGTGCCTCAAACGGATTGTGTCCAGGCATTTTGTTTACGTAATGTGCAAATAACTAATATGCAAAAAATTTTGAAGGCAATGATTGTCTTAAGACAGAGATGGACAATTAATTTTTCTCGGGGACAGATGAGAAATTGTAATAGTTTATGAGGAGCGGACTAATATACTTAACTCAGTTCTAATCAATACCTATCCATATAATGTACTATCCCTTCATAAAAAGCAATAAATGAAGCATTGTAATGGATTAATGAAATGATGAAGTTGTGATGAAAGATTAACGGATTTTAACATTGAAAAGTTTTGATTTAAGGTTAGCCTGGCATGTCTATTTATGGTATGACAAAAGGTAAGTAGATAAAAGTTAGGAAATGACTACCTAAGAGCATTATTGATTAAGATTTGGGAAAAATACAAAGATAGATTATATTCAAAAAATCAAATTGGATATATCCATCTGAAACATTTTATATAAAACAACTGGGAAAAGAAACAT